ATCCTGCATTTCCTAAGCGGCAGAGCCTAGAGACCTGCTCTTTTTTCTTTTTTAGATTAGAACTATATACCGTATATTTATTAATATTTCAAAACTTAGTTTTACCCTATCAAATGGAGATCATAATAATTCTTTTTAATATATTTCTTATTGATTTCAGAGAGAAAAGGAAAAGGAGAAAGAGAGGGAGAGGGAGAGGGAGAGGGGGAGGGAGAGGGAGAGGGAGAGGGAGCTAGAAACATCAATGATGAGAGAGAATCATTGATCGGCTGCTTCCTGCACACCACACACTGGGGATCAAGCCCGCAACTGGGCATATACCCTGACCTGGAATCAAACCGTGACCTGGTTCATAGGTCGTCAGTCAACCACTGAGACACACCAGCTGGGCCATAATAATTATTGAATGATTGTTAAAAGGTCTCCATCATAAAATATCAGTGAGTTATTATGCACGCCACAAAGCTCTATTTTGATGATTATTTATATTATTAGTTATAGAATTCCTGACAAGAAATATATTTGAATCATTTCATTTAAAGAAGTGTTTATAAGTACATGTGATTCTATCTCCAGAAATACCAACATTCAATGAAGAGTAAGATTATTGTGTACTCAAGAAGTATGGAAATTATAATAATATTTCTCTCTTTTTACCTGGGTAAAGAAAAGTATAGACACTATAACATATAGACTATTAAATTGTTTTCTGGTCAGAAATAGTTTAATAAATACAAAATGAAATTTAGAAGATAAAACACGTAAAGATCACTGAATGCACACATTTGTTTTGCATATACATCAACAATGTAAAGTGAAAATATGTGTGTCATTGGGCTCATATCATCCAGAAATAAATATATTTACCTGGAAATGTTCACTTACATGTATGTAGAGACCCTGCTCTTAACCACAATTCCCACTAACCTCCTTTAATGCCCAGATATTAGTATGTAAGGCCATGATTGAACTTTACAACCAATCAGAAGTCAGAAGTAAAGCTGTGATCCCCACACTCAATTACCCAATTGATATAAATGGAGAGAAGGCAGAGGGCAGGACTTTGGGGCCAAGTAGAATGTGCTCACACAGCAACACCCAGTACTAGCTGGTGCCCCAAAACAACAGGTGAAGGGTCAGGGAACAAATCTGGCCATTGCCTACTAGAAATGCCCCTTCTACAGAAAGGGCAAGTTGGAGTGCAGACAGAACTGAGTATCTCACTCTTTCCTTTGGGGATCCATTGCTGTTCTATACAATCCAAGGATGAAAGCACAGGACCCAAAATTTTGACCATGAACAACAGTGGCCGCCCATACTTGAGGGATCTGTTAGAAGAGTCATAAACGTGTAACTTTAAAGCACTGGGGTTGTGTGGGGCATGTTCTCATTCTGGTATTTAGAGTAGGTACTTAGAATCCCTTTTCCGTGTACCACCATCCTTCCTCCACAAACTTCCAGTTTTGTATGTGCTTATAGATGAGTGCACATGTTTGTATACCCACATGCACATGCACTCTGAAGCTCCTCTGTTCCTCAAGCCCTCTCCATCTCTGGGACCGAGATTCTGGGTGAGGAGAAAAGAGGGAGCAATGCCTTGGCTCATTGGTGTGCCTTTATCTGCAATTCTGAAATTGTACTCCAGTTTCAACATTAAGAGCAATAATTCTCCCGAGGTCTCAATGTCATGAGAGTTCATCTGAGATTACATGGAGCCAAAGGGCGGTGAACACAGTTACCACTATAATGATTTTATAACTTCCCTGCATCATGAAGCACCTCTGAACTTTTGGGGGCCTCTGTGTACCTAGATGGTTTGGGGCCCAACTCTGCCCATGACTAGGGCATGTTGTTTACTAATATGAATAGCAGGCAATCCACATTCACTCTCAAGAATTACAACCAAGAACCACAACAATCCAGTAAAGCCTCTGCCCTAGAACCTGAGCAGACCTGACATACAAACCCATTGCTAGTTCTCCCATTCATCGAATATTTATGCGAAGTGTTGGCCCTATGGGCACTATGCTAGGAACTGGCGCCAGAAAACCAAGGTAGAAATAGTTGGTGCCTATGAGGAGGACTCCAGTGCACAAACCAGGCAATTACAGGGCAAGGTGAGCTGTGCTCTGGTGGAAGAGCATGAGTGGCCAAGGAAACATAGAGCAGGGCAGAGATGTGGTCTTGCGCTTTTTAAAAAAAAAAAAATAAGTAAATAGAACAACAAATCAATTATTTATTTATTTATTTATTTGAAATATATTTTATTGATTTTTTACAGAGAGGAAGGGAGAGGGATAGAGAGTCAGAAACATCGATGATAGAGAAACTTCGATCAGCTGCGTCCTGCACACCTCCTACTGGGGATGTGCACGCAACCAAGGTACATGCCCTTGACCAGAATCGAACCCGGGACCCTTCAGTCCACAGGCCGACGCTCTATCCACTGAGCCAAACCAGTCAGGGCTTGTCTTGCTCTTGCAGAATAGGTTGTCTGCGAGAGAGTTCCTGGAATCCACTAGAAGATGATTTCTCTTTAAGCTGAAGCCAGTCACCCACTCCTAGCTCTTTTAATGGAATCAGATTGGAGCTGTTTGTTGAAGCTCCTAAAGTAAAGGAGCTGCATAAACAAGTCCATTGCCCTCTAAATAGTCTATGAGACCCTCCCGGGGAAGCAAATTGGTCTTCCTTGAATCTCTGTAGCATTTTGTTTTATTCTGCCTTGTATCCTTTAGCAGTTTCCATATCTTTCTCTGCTACTTGTGTATGTGCCTACCTATGTATACATCTATATTGCTTACAGGTAGGATTTCAGCATCAGCTTTAGAATGACTCTCTTGCTCAGGTGCCAGTCTATGGTTTTGCAGACCTTCAGCACTCAGTAAATGTTTCTGGGTAGGTGTGACTTCCCTTCTCCCTTTTCTCTAGGCCCCATATCCAAGTAAGAAAGTACTGAATCCAGATAATTCTGCAACTGCCTCTCAGACCCAGCTGCAATGGTCCTGTTTCAGGGCTTCAGGACCTATCTGTGCCTTCTGATTCCAGGTATCAGCTGCTTTTGCATGGTCACACCCCACCACCACCTCTGAAACCGTGGTCAACAGCTTCAGGGCCCAGAATAAAATTTACACTCCTCAGCCTTGGCCTCAGAACTGGGAATGGACCCAGCCCACCTGTCCAAGCTCATTGCTCCTCTCAAGCTCTTCCACTTGACCTCTCCCTCTGCCTCTTTCCCTGCAGCCATTCTGGATCACTCACTCTTCCACAAATATGCTTTGTAACTTCCCACATTGCTTTGTTCACAATGACTTCTACTCCCAATCAGCTTCTTATTACTGTTCATTTCATATGCTTAGTAAGTGCCAGGTCCAGGCTTTATATTTAGCCTTTCAAAGTTAGCAGTTTGTTCTGGTGATATAGCACACACACCCTTTTGAATCTAGTACCCTTTATGATGAAACTAGAGGCCCAGTGCACGAGATTCATGGGGGGGGGGGGGGCAGGGTTCCCTCAGCCTGGCCTGTGCCATCTCGCAGTCCCTCCGGATGTGGGAGCGAGCTTAAACCATAAGTTGGACATCTTTAGTGCTGCTGTGGAGACGGGAGAGGCTCCTGCCATTGCTGCTATGCTTGCCAAGGCTTCTGGCTGAGTAGTGCTCCCCCTGTGGGAATGTACTGACCACAAGGAGGCAGCTCCTGTGTTGAATGTCTCCCCCTGGTGGTCATTGTGTGTCATAGCGACCGGTCATTCAGCCATTTGGTCAATTTGCATATTAGCCTTTTATTATCTAGGGCAGTGGTCGGCAAACTGCGGCTCGCGAGCCACATGTGGCTCTTTGGCCCCTTGAGTGTGGCTCTTCCACAAAATACCGACTTCTGCGCATGGGCCACAAAGTTTCAATCGCACTGTACATGTGCGCCGCACGTGGTATTTTGTGGAAGAGCCACACTGAAGGGGCCAAAGAGTCGCATGTGGCTCGCGAGCCACAGTTTGCCAACCACTGATCTAGGGTATTAGAGAGTTCATTGGTTAATCATTTTCCTCTTAGAACTAAGTGACCTCTGTTGGTGTTGCCTCACCATTTATCAAAGCAAAAAAATATAGGGTCAGAGAGAGAATGAGAAAGTGGAGAGAAATCAGATGTCAAGAAAGGCCAAAAATAAAATCATGGTTGTGTTATAGCATTTTAGTGGAAATAATCACTGCAAGCCAAGTTTAGACACATTACTATGAATGAAGCCAGCAAGCTTCAATCATTTCGATATTGCTATGGACCAGGGCACTATGGGAATCCCCAAAAAATTTTCAGGGGAATTTTGCAAAGTTAAACTGTTTCCATAATCATGATATTGGACTTTTCCACTCTCATTCTCTCTTAAGTGTACAGGGGAGTTCCCTGTACATGTGATACAGCAAAAGATTGAATGCGGAAGCAGATAAAAGAATCAAGCTCTCTTTGACTAAGCCGGAGAGATGCAAAAAATAAAATGTAAAATGACACCATTCTTCACTAAATCTTGTTTTGAAGAAGTATTTTTTCTATAAAAATATGATTTATGATACCGTGTAATGGGTTTATTGCTATTAAGTTGATTAATGGATTTTTTATTGTTTTACTTTCTAATGGAGTGTCGCTAGATTGAACCCACATAAACAAAAGCCAACAGGTCCTGAGGCCAAAAAGTTGAATGGATGTCTAGCCAAACTCTATGACGGTTCTTTAGCCCAGGGTCAGACTAAATTCACTCCAACTTTAACAAAGGTATATTCCACAAGCTAAGTTCCTCTCTTTTGTGCCCTATTTGGAGCTCACAGCTCAACTGAGGGCCCAGTGGGAGGAGCCTAAGTGGGCGGGGCCTTGGCACCACAGGAAAGACGTCACAGAGCGCCTTGTAGGAAGTGGGAGAGGCCTAGCACCGCCTTCTGTGGCCTCGACCAATCAGATGCGGGCTACGTCACAGGGGGCACACCTCCTGGACGGCCTCACTGGGCGCCGGGCGGGCGCCCTGGGACACCAGGCTTGCGCTGCTGCCTGTTTGGCCCGAGGCCCGTGGCCCGTGGCCTGTGGGCCGTGGCCGGCCGTCCAACATGGTGGACTACTACGAGGTGCTGGGCGTGCCCCGCCAGGCCTCCTCCGACGCCATCAAGAAGGCCTACCGCAAGCTGGCGCTCAGGTGGCACCCGGACAAAAACCCTGAGAACAAGGAGGAGGCGGAGAGGAGGTTCAAACAAGTGGCCCAGGCATACGAGGTGCTGTCGGACTCCAAGAAGAGAGCCGTCTACGACCGCTACGGCGAGGCGGGCGTGGAGGCCGGCGGCGGCAGCGGGCCCTTCGAGGACCCCTTCGAGTGTGTCTTTACCTTCCGCGACCCGGTCGAGGTCTTCAGGGAGTTTTTTGGCGGCCGGGACCCATTTTCGTTTGACTTGTTCAGAGACCCGTTTGATAACATTTTGGGAGGTCGGAGAAGCAGGAGCAGAAGGTCCTCGCCCCTTTTCCCCACCTTCAGTGAGTTCCCAGCCTTTGGTGGGTTTTCTTCTTTCGATACAGGATTTCATTCCTTCGCTTCTCTGGGGAATGGGGGCCTCTCTTCCTTCTCCACGTCTTGTGGTAGTGGCGGTGGGATGGGTAACTTCAAGTCCGTGTCAACTTCCACCGAAATCATTAATGGCAAGAAAACCACCACCAAGAGAATTGTCGAGAATGGCCAAGAAAGGGTGGAAGTGGAGCAAGACGGCGAGTTGAAGTCCCTGATCATAAACGGCAGAGAGCAGTTGCTGCACATTGACACCAAGTAACTCCAGCCCTCCCCACGTTTCGCTTAAAGCACACGGGGAGGAATAGCAGGACATTTTTTTGGAGATTGCAAGTGAGCTCTACTTTCAAAATAACTACTGGGCACTTTATAAACGGTTCAATGCCTATGCCTGTTTGTTCTTCTTATTAGGACCACGCTAATAGGACTTCTCTTTGTTTCTCTTTAAAACTGTTGCAAATGTCTGCATACACTTTCCTACTTATTAAACATAGTCTTGAGGCTGACGGTTTTAATGTCACTTTAAGACAGCGGTTCTCAACCTGTGGGTCGCGACCCCTTTGGGGATCGAAGGACCCTTTCACAGGGGTCACCTAAGACCATCGGAAAACACATATATAATTACATATTGTTTTTGTGATTAATCTCTATGCTTTAATTATGTTCAATTTGTAACAATGAAAATACATCCTGCATATCAGATATTTACATTACGATTCATAACAGTAGCAAAATTACAGTTATGAAGTAGCAACGAAAATAATCTTATGGTTGGGGGGTCACCACAACATGAGGAACTGTATTAAAGGGTTGCAGCATTAGGAAGGTTGAGAACCACTGACTTAGAGGATAAGAATATTTCTGTAAGACCAGGGAGAGTGCTTCATTTGACATATCTACATTTGACAAAATTCAGAGGAATTCTTTACCTTGGAGCTTTATGAAAAAAATATTTGTTGAAAATAAGTACATTCATATCATTGCGGGGGGACAGTAGCTGACTTGAAGTAAGCAAAAAATAACATTTTTAAATGCACATCAAAAGCAAAAAACCAAACAATTGATAATGGAGAAAGTAAAATCAGTGATACAAACATACTATTTCAGAGATACTCTCCTATGATGCATCAGAAAAATAGAGGAGATAAACTTAAAGAGTAAGATGATAGTGACAGCCCTAACTGATTTGGCTCAGTGGATAGAGCGTCGGCCTGCGGACTCAAGGGTCCCAGGTTCAATTCGGGTCAAGGGCATGTACCTTGGTTGCGGGCACATCCCCAGTAGGGGGTGTGCAGGAGGCAGCTGATCGATGTTTCTCTCTCATCGATGTTTCTAACTCTCTATCCCTCTCCCTTCATCTCTGTAAAAAAATCAATAAAAAATATATATTTTTTAAAAAGATGATAGTGACAGAGAATGGAAAATATAAATCTGTGGATGACAGGCATTTCCCAAAGGAACCAGAACAAATATTTCAATATTTAGAGAAAAACTTGAAAGTTTTCAATAAGATCTGGTTTTAACTTTAGACTTACCATACATAGTAGGCACAAAAATGGCCCTGTAAATCTGTCCACTTTTAATCCCTGTTACCTGCAGATGAGTCACCTGACATGGTAGAAGGACTTTGCATGTATGATTAAGTCAATGATCTTGAGATAGGGCAATTATCTTGGATTATCTGGGTAAAAATGTAATCACAAGGGTGCCTATAAGTGAAAGAGGGAGGTAGGAGAGCAGAGATTTGAAGATGCTACACTGCATTTACATGGAAATGGAAAAGTGACAGAGAATTCCCAAAGTAACAACAAACACTTGTTTTAAAAAAGGAAACAATGCAAAAAAAATGAATTTACACTAAATGGAAAGAATAAAATCATACACACACACACACACATACATATACATACAGTCCTCGGGTTATGTTGGAGATCCGTTCCTATGACGCGATGTAACTCGATTTTCGACATAAGTCAGAATCCACCTACATAAGCACCTACGTCGCTCACATGGAGCACATACACAGCAGTAATGAAGTGAAACAGTAAAAAAAATTATAAAGAAAGATAATTTCTGACCTTTACTTGTGGTAAATAAATAATAAAAAACATAAAGCACATATGTACATATGTCAAAATGATGGAACTTTTTTTATATAAATACTGTAAATGGGAGATGGCGATGTAACCATGAAACGACGTAAGTCAAGTCCGACGTAACCCGAGGACTGCCTGTGTGTGTGTGTGTGTGTGTGTATACACTAGTATATTGTGTGAATGATAGAAATTCTTACATCAAAAGAAACTATCAGAAGAGGGGAAATGTTATCAAAAACACTTTAAGCAAACTTTTTATAATGTTTTTAAGTTAAAAAGATGACTTCACATATATGATAATATGATTTTTGGCAAGGGTGGCAAAACCGTTCAATGGGGAAAAGACAGTCTCAGCAAATATTGCTGGGAAAAGTGGATAGCCACATGCTGAATGAGGTATCTAAAATAGTCAATTTCACATAGACATAAAGTAGAGGAATGGTGTTTACCTGGGACTGGGAAGAGAGGGAAATGGGGAGTTGTTTAATGGGCATAGAGCTTCAGTTTTCCAAATGAAAGGAGTTCTAGAGATTAGTTGTACAACTTTGTGAAGTGCTTAGCAGTACTACACTGTACACTTTAAAATGGTTAAGATGGTAAATCTTATCTTAGGTATATTTTACCACAATTTAAAAAATTGTAAAGGCCAACTATGAAGAAAATAAACAGTAATAACACTATGTGTACCAATCTTGTAACTATAGAATAACTATTAAAACTATTAAAATTCCAAATAGAAACTGAGCAAAATTTATTTAAATAGGGAATAGTTTAAGACATCTTTTTCAGAATTGGGCAAGTTGAGGGTTTTTTTAATAGAAAAATTAAAAATATAAATTTTAGGTGTTTCTATGGAACATTTACAAATATTGATCATATACTATCTATCCTATCTAATAAAAGAGAAACATGCAAATTGACCATAACCCTGACACCCTTCCCATTGGCTAATCGGCAGGATATGCAAATTAACTGCCAACCAAGATGGTGGCCGGCAGCCACACAGCTGAAGCAAACAGGAGGCTTGCTTGCTCCAGTGACGGAGGAAGCCAACGTTCCCGGCCTGCTGCTGCCAGCCTCTGAGCTGCACTCTAAGCAACTATGTTGCAATTATAGAAGCTAAACAAGCTCCAGAGACCTGTTTTCAGCCAGCTTCAGCCTCAGAGCTTAGAGCTGCTGTGATGGCAACAGAGTTTCAATTATAGAAGCCAAACAGACCCAGAAACCTGCTTTCAGCCCTCAGAGCTAGAGCCTGCTCTCAGCTCCAGTGACAGCTATAGAAGTTAAATAAATCCCAGAATTAAAAAAAAAAAAAGAAAGAAAAGAAAAAAAGGAGAGGCTGGGAGCTTAAGTTGCCCTCCAGCCTGAAAACGGCTCTCAGGCCCTCACCCAGACTGGCCAGGCACCCCAGTGGGGACCCCCACCCTGAAGGGGGTGTGACCAACTGCAAACAGCCTTTAGCCCTTCGTCCAGGCTGGCCAGGCACCCAAGCGGGACCCCCACCCTGATCTGGGACACTTTCAGGGCAAACCAGCCAGCCCCACCCATGCACCAGGCCTCTATTCTATACTTCAGGCAGGGCGGGACAGCGCAAGTTGCCATCTGGGCCCCATGTGCAGCCCTGGGCAGTGGGGTATAAGCCCCACCCCCAGCTGGGACCCCTGTGTGCCACCTGAGTCCCCAGCCAGGACCACCGTGCCACCTAAGCTCTGCACGGCTAAGCCCCGCCCCCAGCCGGGACCCTATGACTATTGGAGAGCAGGAAAGTGCTGCTGGGCCCTGGGTCGCTGTGGTGATCCGGCCATCGGTAAGTAGAAAAGTGCAGCCTGTAGGCAGCCCCCAGCTGTGCCTGATCCAGGAGCAGGAAAGCAAGCCTGGCCTGCGGGCAGCCCCCAGCTGCGCCTTCTCCCCGGTCGCCATGAGGATCCGGGAGCAGGAAAGCAAGCCTGGCCTGCGGGAAGCCCCAAGCTGGGCCTGATACAGAAGCAGGAAATCCCAGCCTGCGGGCAGTCCCCAGCTGGGCCGGCTCCCTGGTCGCCATGGCAATCCGGGAGCAGGAAAGCCTGGCTTGCAAGCAGCACCCCCATCCTGGCCATAGCTCAAGGGAGAGTACAACATGCAGTGGAGGCCAGGAGCCTGAGAGATCAACACAGAGGGACTCCTGCTCCAACCCTCCATGGTGTGACTGGGGGCAGGCCCCCAGCAGACACACACACACACACACACACACACACACACACATACACACACACACAGTGCCTGCTCTGAGCCTCCAATGTGGCTGGGGGCAGACCCCCAGTGGGGACACACACACACACACACACACACACGGCAACTGCTTCGAGCCTACATGGCGTGGCTGGGGGCAGGCCCTAGTAGACAGACAGACAGACAGACAGACACACACACACACACACACACACACGGGACGCCTGCTCCAAGCCTCTGCTGCCAGACTGTGGCCATCAGTAGGACATCCACTGAGGGCTCCCGGACTGTGAGAGGGGCAGGCTGGGCTGAGGGAACCCCAACCCCCAGTGCACGAATTTCATGCACCGGGCCTCTAGTGTATATTTATAAAACCCTAATATGCAAATAGACCGAACGGTGGAACAACCAAACAACTGAACAACCAGTCGCTATGACGTGTGCTGACCACGAGGGGGCACGCACGCGGAACATGATGGGCATCAGCAGTAGGCAACAGAGCATGGAACATGGCGGGCGTTGGCCATAGCAGGATGGAGAAGCAGGTGAGCAGGGGCGCCAGACCAAGGTGGGCCCCCGGTCGCTGTCATCAGGATGAGCCTCTGGTGGTTACTGAAAATTCATTCTTTGCTCCTGTGTGCTGCAGTATCACCTGGTGCTCACACCCACTGCCAAACCCGGCCCTGCTCACACCCGCAGCCGGCACCAAAGCCACCACTTGCACCTGCTGCTAGCGCCCAGTGCCAGTCCTGATCTCTCAGTACCATCAGCGGTGCGAGCAGCAGCTGCTGGCCCCAATCGCCCCTGAGGGCTTTTCCACCTCCCCAGCTCCTGAGGGGCAGTTGGGGCAGCAGGCACCACTAGCACCCACTGCTCCTCACTATCAGCAGGTGTGAGTGGGGCTGGCACCATCAGCATGTGGGAGTGGCGGCGGCAGGAACAGGGCTGCCTGCAGACAGGGCACCAGGGGCTGTGGCGGGAGGGGGCAGGTGAAGGAACAGAGGATGGGCTGAGATCCGCCCCTGTGCCCACAACAACCTCGCGGCCCACAGTTCCTTTCAAGGTGCACGAATTCGTGCACTGGGCCCCTAGTCTGATATAGTAGCCATTGGTAATACATAACTATTGAACATTTCAAATGTGGCTAATCCAAATGGAAATATGCTGTAAGTATAAAATACATACCAAATTTTGAAAACTTAGTGTTGGACAGAAAAGAGTAAACTATCTCATTAATAACTGTATATTGAGAATATGTTGAAAGAAATATATTTTGGATATATTTGGTTGAATAAAGTATATTAAAAATAATATTTTTGCTTTTTTTAAACATGCCTACTAAAAATTTTAAATGATACATGTGGCTTTCATTATATTTCTCCTCAGTATCTTCTGAAACAGAACCACTATAAATGATCATGTAAATAAAAGCAATTTGCTAGTTCCTTTATCCTTCCACTGAACACCCACAAGCAAAAACTCCCTTATAAATAAGTTTGCAACTCAATTTGTCTGCTCCTACACAGCTGAAGAAAATTGCACAACCCTGAAGATGATACCATAACAAAAGGACAATCTTGATTGAATCACACCAGTGTAAATCCTATTACAGAACTTCATCCCTCTCTCTCATTTTTTAAATGACCATTGCAAACTTAACCACACTACTTGAGACACTTGAACAATTTATGTCATCAAGACTGTTAGAGAACAAGAGGTAGAAATTAACAGAAAGATTGGTAGGTAAGTAAGCCCTAGGAATTAGTTTAAAAAAATAAAATGTGTTCTGCCTGGCACACTGAGCAGATATAAGCACTAATACAGACCTGAGACAATGGCTTCCTGTTGGCACAGTTTATGCCCCCAATGAAGACCATGTTGGGCATGATCGGCCTGGGGTAGTCCAACACAAAGTCTCCTCTGAACAGCCACACGGATGCATAGCCAAAAACATCCACCAGTGACATCTCTCTCTGCAGAAGCTCAGAGGCCAGCCGTGCATAAGGAGACAAAGAAGCATGACAAATGTACTTCAGGGCCAGAGGGTAGAGCATGTTCTTGACCCTTTGCAGGAATGTCATGTGGTCTGAATTCCTTGTTAATACACTAGGAATATATGAGGAAGGATTTGGGCACTGTGTGCCCTCCGAATCGAAGTTACAGGGAATGGCACGCAAAAAAAACACAGTAGGAAGTGACAGGTACTGAGCCAGCACTGCCCCACAGGGGGAGGCAGGATCTGTTAAAACCACGTCGAAGGCACTGGCATTCAGATGCCTGATCAGGTCCTGGTTATGCACCAGCTCCTCACAAGACTTTTGAAAGACCGAAGACATATTTTTCAAAATTACAGTATATTTCAAGAATGTTTTTAGAAAATGTGCTCTTTCAAAAACCAGGTCAGTAAGGCCCAGCATGAGATACTGGAATTCCTCCTGGGTGAATGGAATGGCATAGGTTTTCAGGGTGAAATAGTCCTCCTCCTTGACATGCAAAGTTGCCTCTGGTGAGAGGACTACTGCTTGGTGGCCTCTGGCATGGAGCTCCTTCACAACCTCCCGCATGCTGAGCCAGTGGCTGCCCTCCATGGGGACCACCAGTACCTTCCCGCCCTCAGTCCAGGGCCTGACACACAGGAAGAGCAGCAATCCCATGAGCAGCGGTGGGGGAAGCTGGAGTCCTGAAGCCATCTCGGTAGATGCAAAAGCAGCTGACTCCCCAGATCACAGTGTGTCTTATATGCTTGTTTTCTTTGTCTTATCATATCATCAAGCCAATTCACAGACTGGCACATCACTGGAGGGCAGGGTGCACTATTTACATTAATCATTACAGAATGAACCTGGCCCTGTCCTTCACCACTAGCCTTTTACCCTTTTGCTTCCCCTAGTCTGATATAGTAGCCATTGGTAATACATAACTATTGAACATTTCAAATGTGGCTAATCCAAATGGAAATATGCTGTAAGTATAAAATACATACCAAATTTTGAAAACTTAGTGTTGGACAGAAAAGAGTAAAATAATTTCATTAATAATTTTATATTGAGAATATGTTGAAAGAAAAATGTTTTGGATATATTTGGTTGAATAAAGTATATTAAAACTAATACTTTTTTGCTTTTTTTAAACATGCCTACTAAAAATTTTTAAATGATACACGTGGCTTGCATTATATTTCTCCTCAGTATCTTCTGAAACAGAACCACTATAAATGATCATGTAAATAAAGGCAATTTGCTAGTTCCTTTATCCTTCTACTGAACACCCACAAGCAAAAACTCCCTTGTAAATAAGTTTGCAACTCAATTTGTCTGCTCCTACACAGCTGAAGAAAATTGCACAACCCTGAAGATGATACCATAACAAAAGGACAATCTTGATTGAATCACACCAGTGTAAATCCTATTACAGAACTTCATCCCTCTCTCTCATTTTTTAAATGACCATTGCAAACTTAACCACACTACTTGAGACACTTGAACAATTTATGTCATCAAGACTGTTAGAGAACAAGAGGTAGAAATTAACAGAAAGATTGGTAGGTAAGTAAGCCCTTGGAATTAGTTTAAAAAAATAAAATGTGTTCTGCCTGGCACACTGAGCGGATATAAGCACTAATACAGACCTGAGACAATGGCTTCCTGTTGGCACAGTTTATGCCCCCAATGAAGACCATGTTGGGCATGATCGGCCTGGGGTAGTCCAACACAAAGTCTCCTCTGAACAGCCACACGGATGCATAGCCAAAAACATCCACCAGTGACATCTCTCTCTGCAGAAGCTCAGAGGCCAGCCGTGCATAAGGAGACAAAGAAACATGGCAAATGTACTTCAGGGCCAGAGGGTAGAGCATGTTCTTGACCCTTTGCAGGAATGTCATGTGGTCCGAATTCCTTGTTAATAACCTAGGAATATATGAGGAAGGATTTGGGCATTGTGTGCCCTCCGAATCAAAGTCACAGGGAATGGCACGCAAAAAAAACACAGCAGGAAGCGACAGGTACTGAGCCAGCACTGCCCCACAGGGGTAGACAGGATCTGTTAAAACCACGTCGAAGGCACTGGCATTCAGATGCCTGATCAGGTCCTGGTTATACACCAGCTCCTCACAAGACTTTTGAAAGACCGAAGACACATTTTTCAGAATTACAATAGATTTCAAGTATGTTTTTAGAAAATGTGCTCTTTCAAAAACCAGGTCAGCATGGCCCAGCATGAGATACTGGAATTCCTCCTGGGTGAATGGAATGGCATAGGTTTTCAGGGTGAAATAGTCCTCCTCCTTGACATGCAAAGTTGCCTCTGGTGAGAGGACTACTGCTTGGTGGCCTCTGGCATGGAGCTCCTTCACGACCTCCCGCATGCTGAGCCAGTGGCTGCCCTCCATGGGGACCACCAGTACCTTCCCGCCCTCAGTCCAGGGCCTGACACACAGGAAGAGCAGCAATCCCATGAGCAGCGGTGGTGGAAGCTGGAGTCCTGAAGCCATCTCGGTAGATGCAAAAGCAGCTGACTCCCCAGATCACAGTGTGTCTTATACACTTATTTTCTTTGTCTTATCATATCATCAAGCCAATTCACAGACTGGCACATCACTGGAGGGCAGGGTGCACTACTTACATTAATCATTACAGAATGAACCTGCCCCTGTCCTTCACCACTAGCCTTTTACCCTTTTGCTTCCCCTAGGGAGAGATCGATCTCCCTGACTTTGGAGAAATTCATCTGAGTCCACTGCTCTCTCAGAGGAACTGTTTAGTTCACGCTCTTGTTTTTCATTCCATTCCCAAAACGAGGCTGTGGATGCCCATTCATTCTCTTCCCCACCCACTCCTCTGTTAACCATGTTTTACAGGGCTGTGACTGAACTCCAAGAAGTCACCAATGCTAGTCCACAACCAAAACCTCTCTGCTGGATGTGACCTTATTTGATAACTCTTAAAACTCTTTCCTCCCGTTTGGGCAATATTAAGCACATCCAGAAAAATACATATAACATTGCTGAAAGGGCAAGGGCTACGCCCTCCATCTTGCCCCCAATCCTCCATTTTTGGACAGCCATGTGCTCAGCAAGGCTTCTTCCTGGAAGTCCAAGCCTCTGCTAGCCACACCCAGGACTTCTTTAAACTAACCAATGACAATCAAGGGAAGTGTGCGCCATAGATATGACCACATCCTGTGTAACGAGACACCGACTTGTGCCTGGCCAATCAGCAGGGCCCACAGTCCTCTCTCCTCCCCTTACTCCAACCCCCCTATTAAACCCCTCTTCCACGGGGCTCTCGCGCTCTCTCCGCCGCTTGCCGCTGTGTCGGCCAGTGTGGCTGATGGGGGCCCAAACGAGTTTGAATAAAGACTCTCTGCTTTTGCATCAGACATGGCTGGCTCCCTGGTGTGGTTTCTTGGGGATCTTGAAATCTGGGCATAACAATTGCTAAGGCGGCTTTCTCTAACAGGAGGTGGACGCTGGCTCTCTGGTTCTGTTCCTCTTTTGCACAAGGACACACCTCGTGCAATGTTTTGGGAAGAGTCTACTTGAAGCAGCTGTCAAATGTGGAAATATCTGGAGCAACTCTGAATTCTAGACTTGATGAAAACAACACAGGGGTTGTTGAGATGCCTATACCTACTCCATGGAATAAGAGTTGCCATTATGGGCAATGACACAGTGGGGTCAGAGAGCACCATCCTTGGTCTGGTGCCCCTGCTCACCACAAAACAGGAGGGAGCTGTCACCTGGCTTCGCACCAGTCTCTGTCTGAATTCCTCTTCTCTTGCATGCTGAAAGTTCCAGTCTTGTGCTACTCTGCTTCGGGACTAGGGTGTACCTTAATCAGGGCCTTCCTTTAATATATCCTGTGGTTTATGTTCAGGTCATTTATACTCCTAAGTCCTCATAAGAACAGATTCTTCCAGAACAGGATGAGCTGCATAATTTGTGCACTCCTTCTAAGGGTGGAGCCCTGAGCAGCCTCATGAGTCACATGCCCATGAGGCCAGGCCTGCTCCAGAAAGTGACGCCCATCTGTGCTTAGCTGCCATCTCCTTGTCCTGTTCACCTGTTGATGATGTGGGTGGGCTCCTTGTGGCGTCCCACTTTCTCACTGAGTGTGCTCTTCGGCATCCTTGGCTTCTGCCATACCAACCTGCAGGCCCAGGCCACCATGACTAGCAAGGCTGAGGCTTCCCTTTGGGAGGAAATGACCCCATGAAAGATTCACAGTGATAACAGGTTCCATCATTGGACAAATGTGTGCACACCAAGACACTTCCCATGGAACACCAGCCGCCACTGTGCAGGCAGTGTTTGGTTTAACCCTTCCTTGTAGGCTGTGTGTCCAGGATCCTGGTTCCCTCCTCCTCTCCAACAGCAAGTTCTCTACTCTCTTTTGCAGATCCTCTTTCTGTCCAAGACATAACTCTATTTTTTCCCCAAGACTCCGTTTCTGTCTTCTACTCACAGGTTAAATCCTATCATTTCTGTCCTCCATTCACTCCTACAAAAAGCCATTCAAAATATCTTGAGTATGTAGGCTTGAGGCTGCTCCTGTCCTACATTAAAAGTGTGAGGGCAAATGGAGCCAATAGCTAGGAAGGTACAACTTCAAGTTTGTTATTGGTGCTGCATCTGCTGTTATTATCATTAACAAGAGAAGCTACCATTAAGGATTCTTGTCACCACCATATCAATGGCAGAAGCAGCAAGTCACCAGAGTTGACTCCTCTTCACTCTGTTAATAACTTGGTAGTCCCTGTTCCTTGTATGGCTGTAACTGCACTGGACACGTGTAGGAGAGTATATATACCAGGGCCACCTCTCTAGCTTTCATCACTGTGGTCATCTGCCTTGTGGTTATAACCCAACCTGACAAGATGTTATAAGCCAAGTAAGAAATGGGTTTACCTAGGGAATTAGTCATAGTGGTGGTGTTTTCTCTGCTCCAATTAGAGATATAAATAAATCTAGATCAAATAAATGAAGAGGCACAGATGTCCTGGAAGGGAAGACTTAACGTTGTAACACTCTTGATTTTATCCCAAATTAAGCTATAGATTTAATGCAAGGCCAAACAAAATCTCATTGGGATTTTTAACAGGAGAAAAAAAAATTTTTAATTCACCTAGAAGCATTTTTGTCTTCTGGTAATACAGGAGTAGTTCCTATCAGACCAATGCTCTCACAGGTAATGATTATAAATTCTTACCAAAAAAACTTTTTACAGCTGTCTGAAGGCACTAGAGAGAAAACAAAAACAGGCGGAAAGAGAAGGAGACAACAGATGACAAGGCCTGGGTAGAGTTTCCTTGCTCTTCTTAGCAGCCACCTCTGGTATGTCTGTCCTTACCCATTACACTTAAAGCGTCAGGGTGGCGCTTGCTCCCTGTTAACAAGGAGATTATCTACAACTCATTTGTCTCCATGTGGCCAGAGGGTGGCCAGCACCTCAGTCAGCCTATCGCTCCAGGGAGCAAGCACCACCCTGGGACTGTAGGGCTGAGAAGCCTACACCTATCCTCCATGCCATGGTATGTTTCCTTGGTGACTCTGCTCACAGCTCCAAACTGTCAAAGCAGATTATAGGGTACCAGATACCAACTCCAATAGGGGACTCCAACTTCCTGGCAGATAGTGAAGACCATCACTATGCCAGCCATCAGTGACAGAAGGCCCAACACCTCTGCCCATTGCATCTTGCTATTGGAGTTGCCAAGAACACACCATAGTCACCCAGCATGCTTTAGTTACATGGGGAAGAGACAGAGTGAATCAATCCCAATAGTGATCCCCCATGGCCAGCAGGTCCCTATGACAGCGGACACAGAGCAGTTCACCCACATGCATTCCTACTGTGCAGCAGTAGAAAGACCCTGTCCCCTCCCCTTGAAGTACAAATATAACAGTGGGTTGGCCAAGTGTCATGGACCCACACGCTTCAAAAAAAGAAAAGAAAGAAGAGCATTCTTTGAGCCTGAAACAAAAAGACATTTCCACACAAGGTGATAAGGCGGCACAGGCTTG